AGCAAGTTCTTCTTCGAGACACAACTTTGGATAAGCCTTACCATAAGGTTGAGATTGTTGAAGTTATTGGTGAAGGCATGGTTGTCGTAGGCATCACTTTCGAAAATGGTAATGTGGAACAACGTATAGTTCAATTAGCTGACATAATTGGGTATGCCGACGAACAAGTAAAAAAAAAAGTAAAGGTAATATTATGTATATATTTTTTCTTGAGAAATTCTATTTTCACCTGAGTTAAAGTCACCTGATAAATTATAATGTCATTTACGTAACTAAATTATTAGTATTAGTAATATTCAGGTGACTTTAACCTGGGTGAAAATAGAATCTCACTTTTTTTTTAGTTCGGATAAATAAGCAAATTATGTCTTTATAGTTGTCTAAAGATTCTCACGGAAACGATGTTGTTTATACAATGCCATATGGAGGAAAGAAAGGCGAATTACACTTAACTTCTACATGTCCAGTAGATACAAGCCTCACACTTATTCAAAGCGTTTTTACTCAGCAAAATATCTATAGTCAAGCAGCAGCTTTTGCCATCGCTGACCCCATTTCACGCACACATCTTCTTATCAAAGTTTTTGACCGAATGAAGCAGAAGCAATGGGTAGAGGCCAAGTTCCTTTGGGTTGAAAGCTTACCATCATATAATAAGTTAAAAACAGGATGTATAAGCTTATTTGGAAGTCTTTCGGAGCTATTTTTTGAACAATTTTTTCACGATTTCTTGAACTGGAATCTTCTCGTTGTCAAAAGCACTGTAACAACCATGTGTGATTCAGATTATTGCCCTAAAAAAATTTTGCTGCCAGAAAACTTTTATAACATTGTGCTTATGTAAATAAGTAATGTTTTTTTTACATTAATAAATATAAATTTTTTTTTTTTTTTTTTTTTTTAGAAAACTGCAACTACCAGTGTTACCAGGAGGTAATTACTTTGAAACGTGTTTAAAACATTGGCAAGAGCCTTGTATTGTCTTCTGTGGATCAGAGTTTGTAATTATAAATGGGAAAAAACCAAAAAATGTTCCTGTGAATGCCTTTAAGATCGACAAATATACATCAGTAAAAAGCGAAAAAATCAAGTAATTTATTTACCCCTATTTAATTTTTAATATATACTGCATATACTGTACTTAAATAAGTATATATA